GAACCTATTCAAATAAGTAAATCTTAGGAAATAGTTTTCTTAGAATTACTCCAAGTCAAAGACTTTAAAAGGAAACCGTATTTAGCTGAAACTTACTGTGGACCCACATATTATATTTTGATAGATTCAGTAATTAACCTACATAAATGGTTAAAACTATAGAATGTTTATTAACATAATCTTCTCAGAAGTAGGCACTGAGTATTAAATAAATGGGTACTTGCGGACACACAGGTAATGATAACTAAATAATAACCTAAATCATTCTCTTTTCACCAAATTTCTAAGATGCTATTACAGTATATCCAAGACTTTACATCAGAATTTAATCAACCAATTAAACAAAAAAAGCCCACTTAGTCTTACACAAGTGGCCTGGAAAATGGAAAGAACAATATTATGCCTATTCTTCACTTATGATATATAAACACATTCTTGGTAGATGCACAGTTCTGCTTGCTGCTCCTCCCCAACACCGAAAGGAACTAGGACTTGGGATTCCTCAGCCTCAAGCATGCGTACACAGCAAGTGTGCAGCACAACTGTGCACGTCCACAGAATCGTAAATCCTCCTGTAGAAAAAAGACACTTCTGCAAAAGCATGCAACCAAAGTCTACCCAATTTCAAAATGGCTTAAAAGGATACTGTATGGCCCTAAAGCAGAAACGGTATTGTAAAATGTCATAAAAATTTTATAACAACCATTCTGAAAATCTAAATATTGCAAAAAAAAGTAAAGGGACTGAGTTTTTTATTAACATTTGTTCTCAGCCTCCATAAATCTGTTATTTTTATGTAACACAAAACACTTTTATCAAACATAAATATCAACTTCAAATTTATAAATCTACACACAACCCCAAATGAAAGTGACACAAATGAAATATTAGTCCCTTCTCCACAAAATATGGTTCAAAGCATACAGATACAGGATCTGGGCAGTGTCAGCTTGTACAAAGCACTGGGAAATGCCTCTAGATCCAGGACTGGCAAAAAGCTAAGACAGCTTCCTGTGCTAGTACATTCAAATTTGCATCTCCAACTGATTGCAAAACAAGGAGGAAAATTCCATGGACCATAGCAAATTTTATATCAAACCACCCTCCTCCTAGGAGAAGACAGGGTTAAATCAATGAACTGATCATCATCTAGATTTGCCGGTGAGGTCGGCTCGAAACCTAGAGAAATTACTGTTCCTAGTACCGATGAAATCAATTTTTAGACATACTCAGCCCCAAATAATAAGAGAATAAAGTCTATTCACAAAAAGAATTAACAACTCAACCCTTTTCCATTATACCTGTTTTCTTAAAAAGATGTTTGTGTGTAGTAAAACTATCAAATGAGTTTATATTGTCTTTCAGTACTTTATCTTATACTTTCAAAATCCATACTCAAACCTAAATTATTTTTATACAAGAGCGAAGATGTTATTTTCTTCCATTCCAGTAAAGGAAAACAATATTTACAGATTAAGTACATTAGTAAAAGTATCCAAGTATGATCTAGATTATTTTTATATACACAACATGCTTTTTTTCTGATACAATATGATGATGAGAAAATCAGAACACATACAAAAAGCCTGGCCAAAACCATACTGTGAAACACAAACAAAATCAAAGGAAAAAAAGAAGGATAAAAAGAAAAAAATAGAGACCAAAGGTAAGAACTGATTATACTTCTTTAGTATTAATATAGACATAAACTTGTGATCAATAGCACTGCTTGCCATTAAATAACAGAAAAAAACTATCAAAATTAAAATCAGGGTCCTCAATAAAAATCAGGATCCTCAATAAAAACAATTTTAAACCAAAATAATTTTACAGCATTTAATAAAAACTGCAGACATTTTGTTACATTTTCTTGTGTGTTTTTAATGATAGGACTTTTCTGTAAACCACTGTTACTAAGTCAACCTAACTATGTAACAGCCATCCATACTTTGGCAAATATATAAACTAAGAGTCCAAAAATGTTTTGCAAGGTTTAAAATATCAAATAATATAAGACTGCATGGGAAGAGTAAAGAGTGATCTTACAATACGATATATCTTATACACATCTTAAGATTATTGGGAACAAGTCTGTAGCTACCTGCTTTTCAAACCACTTTTAATGGTAAATAAGTCTTTCTAAAATTATATTTTGTAAGACTGATGTTAAAATATTATTAATGGAGTTCATTACAAAATTCTGTATCATAAAATGTATGTGAGCAGACCTCAGTATTCTTTTTGAAACTTGTCTACCTGAGTACTTACCCCAAAAAGCTCCAGTAACAAAGTGAATTACAAAA